CAAGAAACATCCTGATGGAAAACAGGCATCTACTTCCTCCAAACATCTACATGGCTAGCTGCATACAAGACAGTTTGCTTCGGTCCTGTGTCGTTCCCTAACAGCTGTGTCCAGTAGCACAGACCTGCATAGCCAAGGGCCCTGAGAGGTCCCAGGCCTATCTTGTCATGTTTGCAGTTAATGCTGTCTGAAGATGATCTTTAAAGGGAGCTTTAACATGTCCCAGCCCTGACTTGGACGGCCCAGGCTAAGAACATAAGAACATAAGAGAAGCCAATGTTGGATCAGGCCAATGGCCCATCCAGTCCAACACTCTGTCACACAGTGGCCAAAAATACCAGGTGCCATCAGGAGGTCCAGCAGTGGGGCAGGACACTAGAAGCCCTCCCACTGTTGCCCCCCCAAAGCACCAAGAATACAGAGCATCACCTGCCCCAGACTGAGAGTTCCTATCTATGCCTTGTGGCTAATAGCCACTGATGTTTATCTCTGATGGTGATGCTTCATATGTTTATCTAATTTCCTCCTGAAGCCAGCCATCCTTGTAGCCGCTGCCACCTCCTGCCGCTGCCACCTCCTGCCACCATTGAGGGGTGAAGAAGTATTTCCTTTTATCTGTTCTAACCCGACTGCTCAGCAATGAGTTCTTGTATTGTGAGACAGGGAGAAAAGTACTTCTTTCTCTACCTGCTCTATCCCATGCATAATCTTATAAGCCTCGATCAGGTCACCCCTCAGCCGTCATTTCTCCAAGCTAAAGAGTCCTAACCTCTTTAAGCGTTCTTCATAGGGAAAGTGTTCCAACCCTTTTATCATTCTAATTGCCCTTTTCTGCACTTTTTCCAATGCTATAATATCCGTTTTGAGGTGTGGTGACCAGAACTGCACTATCGATTTATACGGGGGCATTATGATACTGGCTGATTTGGCTAGCTTGATCTCATCAGATACTGGAAGTTAAGCAGAGTTACTCATGCTTAGTACATGGATGGGAGACCACCAAGGAAGTCCAGAATTGTTATTCAGAGGCAGGCAATGGCAAACTACCTCCGTTCATCTCTTGCCCTGAAAACCTTGTGGGGTTGACAGCACTTCCCACCACCTCCACCATGAGCACGTCTCAGCTTTTGACAGATTTTTCCAAAAGGCTGGAAGCAGAACACTTACGGATTCCTAGAAAGGGAAATGGGATGAGGGAGAGACAGGCAACCAGATATCTCAGAACTGAGGAAAGTCTCACTCACTTCATTCTCTTGAAACTGACTCAAGGCCCAAACAGCGCCAAGATGCCAACACGAGCGTCCCCTGTCCGGTAAACTCTCCACAATATACTCAATGGTGACACTCCCCTTTTCTGTCGGTGGTGGGCGGCGCATTGTTGGGGGGGAATTGGGAATCCAGGAACACCAGTCATACTGCGCCATAAAAAAAGCAAAAGCACAGTCAGGCACACAGTGACTTGCAAGTCGTGTTCAAATAAGCTGTCTGAGAGCACAACAGATACCACAGACACGGCTTTACATGCAGCTAAATGCCACAGTCAGTAAGTATCTGATGTGTACATTTGTCACTAGAGCTTTCAGGATGTAAGTATTCGGAAACAGTTCTGCAGAAGCAACTTACTTCTAACGATGATAACCGCAATCGTAGCTGTATCCCAGCTCTCATCTCCCCACCAGCTTGATGCTAAGCGTTGGAGATAAGATGGTTTCCTGTAATTCTTTCATCTGCAGCCTCCACTACCCCCTACCACCACCACAAAACCACCTTTCCTCCTTCTCCAGTCACTTCTACTTTCTCAGCAAGTCCAAAGTATTTATTTTCTGGTAAAATCTAAAGTGCCCTGACCCAGCTGGCCCAGGCTAGCCTGATTCTCGTCAGATCTCAGAAACTAAGCAGGGCTGGCCCTGGTCAGTATTTGGATGGGAGACCACCAAGGAATTCCAGGGTTGCGATCAAGGCTCCGTCTAAGCTGTGGAGTCTTGTGAGCAAAAATTCTACTTTGTGAGCTGCTGGCAGTAAAGTAGCGAGTGAGCCATTTGGCTACTGCGTAAATTAGTTTGCTCTGGAGCCCTCCTTCCTGAGCTGGGCCAAAAATGTGTGAGCCGGAGGCTTAAAAACTGTGAGCTAGCTCACACAAACTCAGCTTAGAGGGAACACTGGTTGCTACGCAGAGGCAGACGATAGCAAACCACCTCTATTTGGCTCTTGCCTTGAAAACTCAATGGGGTTGCCAACCATAAGCCAGCTGCGACTTGACAGTACTTTACACGCACAGAAATGTAAAGTGCCCATTTATCTCAAATACATTGCAACACGGTGTCAACTTCCTTCCTGTGGCTGCTCTCTTCCTCAGTAGCAACACGGCAGAAACCTCCCAGTATATATGAATCAAAAAACACAAACTGGGAAAGTCGCTATCATATGCAAATATATATATATATTAGAATAGTAAACACATCAAGTGTGCAATTGGAAATACATTAATAACAATTTACAGTCCAACAGTGTCAACAAATACCAACAGTTCACAGTGTCAACAGTTTTCCAACAATTTACAGTCCAACAGTATCAACAGATTACGAAGAGTCCGGCTTCAACTATATTATCTGGGACTAGCCCTTCAATATACTTGCCCACGTATAAAATGTTTTTAAGCCCATTGGCTAGTCCCAGATAGTATACTGCATAGCAACATAGAGAATGTTCTGTTCATCTGCAAAATACGATTCAAACACATAATGGTTGCTGGTAATCACGTTCTGATGAAGTTTTCCATCGAAACAAAGTTGAAGCTGGACTCTTTGTAATCTGTTGATACTGTTGGACTGTAAATGGTTGGAAAACTGTTGGCACTGTGAACCGTTGGTATTTGTTGACACTGTTGGACTGTAAATTGTTACTAATGCATTTCCAATTGCACACTTGATGTGTTTACTCTTCCTCAGCAGGCCTCTGTAGAGACAACGGATGCCTTTAGAATGTGAACTGGGCCATCCTGGCTCAACCACCATCTCTGCAGGTGGCCCAAGGACTTAGTCCCCTACCTGCAATGTGGAGACAATACTGCTGACCTAACATTGATCTACCCCATCATGCCAGGAGCTTCCAGTGGACAATGACATGAAAGCAAACTCAAAGCATTACAGCATCGTCCCACACTGTGAGTCTCATCAGAGGTTATGAGGAAGAGAGACTGCAAATTTTGGGATGTTGCTTGTGGTGGCAGCATTGAGTCATCCTGATATCTAGCTCCATCCTGTGCCTCTCAGCTTTAAGGAGATTTAACTAGCACTTTGGCCGTGACTACGACTGTGATCACACACAAGGAGTTTGGCCCAACACAGTCACTCCTCCCCTCTGGATCAAACGGGCGCAGTCACACAGCCACATCTATCACGTGTTCCCCAGCCACACTCACCCTGTCATGGGACAACGTGGAGCCGGGCTAAAAAGGCACCACATCACAAGTGGTGTTTTTGGTTGCCTGGACAGTCATTGCACATGGCCGGATGTCTGAATGGGGAGGGGGGGGGATGCACAGAACAGATTTGGCAGCCTGAACCTGCAGATCTGTTCTGCCACTAGGGAGGGTTTTAAAAAAATTGCCTATATGTGCATGCGCAGTTATGCATGCGCACAAGCGCACATGCGTTTTGAAATTTGGGGGGGGCAGCACGCTCTGTGACTGAGGCGCTGCAGTAATGTGGCTGCTTGAGCATGGGATGTCTGCATGCGCAGTTATGCATGCGCACGAGCACACATGCATTTTGAAATTTTGGGGGGGCAGCACGCTCCGTGACTGAGGCGCTGCAGTAATGTGGCTGCTTGAGCACGGGATGTCTGCATGGGCAACCCTTTAAAAAAAAATTGCCTATATGCGCATGCGCAGTTATGCATGTGCATGAGCGCACATGCAAGCGTTTTGAAATTTGGGGGGGGGCAGCACGCTCCATGACTGAGGCGCTGCAGTAATGTGGATGCTTGACCATGGGATGTCTGCATGGGCAACCTGCAGCAGGGTGTGCAGTCTGGCTGACATGCCCCGCAACACTTTAAACCAGTACAATTAGAGGCAGCACCATATCGCGCCAAGCCGCTAGTGTGACCACAGCCCAGCTCTCTCCTTGTTTCCATGGCTGCATCCTCAGCTCTATGGAAGCTGATCTAGAATGAGATGCCTTTATTTCCACTGGCCCATTCCTAAGTGAGAGTGGAATACTTTCTTTTCTGTACTCCTCATTCCCTTCAAAGTCCCTGAACAGGGCTGATCTATCCAGTGTGAAACTCCCTTAAGTTCATATGGTACAGAATTGCGTTGTATCTTTACCTGGCCAAAATTCACAGCTGCATGTTGTGCTGACGTTACGTAAATCACTACAGTGAGATATTCTGACAACTTCTCCCGTGTCTTGATTGTCTTGGGAAATCCTGAAATTCAGGAGAAACTTTAAAAACAGCAAAAACCCTTGGCTCCCTTTGGAGCTTTATGAAACAGACTGATTTTTCTTCTTGACTGGCTCAAGTACAAGAAGCCAGTCAACAAGATCATGAATTTTCACCCTGACTTTGCTATCAAGGCCAATTAGGGTGAACTGAACAGTGGAAGCCAAACTTGCCTTAAAAGAGTAACAGTAACAGACAGCTCAGCGGGTTAGTAAGCACCAAGAAAGAGCATTCTGCGTGCTGAGAAATACGGGCAGCTGGCCCTGTCCCAAAGGAACAAAGCACATTATGTTCTGCCTCCAAGCGTTCTGCCTCTATGCACACAGCACTGCCTGCATCGATCTCACTTTCCTTCCCCTTTTCTGCACTTTCAGGTACAAGTTGTAGAAGAAGAAGAGTTGGATGTATACCCCGCCCTTCACTTGGGAGTCTCAGAATGGCTTACAATCCCTTCCCCTCCCCACAACAGACACCCTGTGAGGTAGCTGGGGCTCAGAGAGCTCTGAGAGAACTGCTCTCGAGAGAACAGTGACTGGCCCAAGGTTACCCAGCAGGCCTCAGGTGGAGAAGTGGAGAATCAAACCTGGTTCTCCAGATTAGAGTCCACCGCTCTTAACCACTACACCAAACTGTACATATGCGGCTAGGGGCTTGCGAAGATCTGATGCCATGAAATAACATATCAAAGAAAGCAAATGCATCCAATGCTCCCTCTAAGCTGTGGCGTCTTGTGAGCAAAAACTCTACTTTGTGACCTACTGCCATTAAAGTTGTGAGTGAGCGATCTGGCTCCTGCATAAATTAGCTTGCTCTGGAGCCATCCTTCCCGAGCTAAGACAAAAATCTGTGAGCCGGAGGCTAAAAAACTGTGAGCTGGCTCACACTAACTCAGCTTAGAGGGAACACTGGATGTATCCACATGGAAATATGGATACAAATATCAGGCCCTTTCCCCACAGATGAGCCTTCATGGGTTGGCTGTAACTGCAGGACCAGGTGTTATTTTTATTCTGAAGGGTCAGTCCTTGTGCACATGACCTGACAGGGTGGGGAAAAAGTCATAAAATTTCAGTGAGGCCTCAGTCATGAATTGGAGAACAGTAAACTATTTAGTATCTAGGCAAATGTTACCACTATTGTAACCTGCACTGCCTGCAGCCATATTAATAACCTTTGGGGTTCAAAGAAGAAAAGGTACTTCAGAGCTTCCAGTCCATTCACGTGTAGAATGGACAGAGAATCTGGCTCTAGCAGGGACGTCTCACCTGATGCCTTGTTGCCTCTCATGCCGTAGACATAAATGTCCTTCACAAAGGCCTGGAGTTCCAAATCCTCACACACTGTCTCATCACTGTCATAATAGATGGCGACAACATCTGAAGCAAAGCTGCAGACACAGCAAGAAAACAGATACCATTCTCAGAAGCCATCAAAACAATAATTTTTATTTTTAAAAACAGTTTGTAGGACAAGGTCACCAAAACCTTTACAAGGCCAAGAAGAAGAAAAAGCAAAACACTGTGATGCAGTACTCATTCTCACCACTGCTTTAAAGACCACATTACAAAACTGTGTGATGTTCTGCAGTTTTCTGTTACGATGGTCAGTGACTCCAGGAATGGTTCTTCCTTCACCATGCCGTATAGTTGGTGGTTTCTTAATATGGGGTATTGATGACAGCTCAGGAGAATGCCTGCACTGATCATATGGCACAGAAGTAAAAATGGCAGCCTTTCCATCTTTTAAAGAAAGTACGGTCCCAGTCACACACAGAATTAGCCGCGCGATAGGGACAAATGCCGGGCGGATTTTACGGGCACGATCACACGGGAACATCTGGCAAGTGTCCCGCACCCGTCGGCAACCCATATCACGCTGGCGAAGATGCAGAGTAAAAAGGTACCAGGGAAAGTGCAATATTTTCCAGAAAATATGTGGCACAGGCGGGCGTCTGATCGCGGAAGTGCTGGTATCCCGTTGCATCCAGCGCCTCTCTGCGACCCACCAAATGCCTTTTTTTACGCCTCCGTGGTATGCATGCAAACGCGTTCCTGCCTAACTGC